TGTGGTGCCGCTGTCGACGATTTTTTTACACGTACGATATACGTATACCGCAGATTAAAGGGTATTATTGCCGTACGCGACACAAACTTTGGCCCGTTGACAGCACAGAGGTGCCTTGGCTCTTCTCTCGGGACGCCGTAAGCAAAAGGGCTCGGTTACTGCACAACTTCTGTCGTTAAGCTCTCGGGAGTAGCAAATAAAAGCAGCGATACGTACTTACAGCCACGGGATGCTGGAAGAAGAGGAGCTCGACGAGTGAGTACATATATACTTACTATGTTCATGTATTCCCATGACTTTTGGGATAATTAAGATTAGGGGGGGGGGAGGGAAGGATTATCGATTAATCCTTTTCTTTTCTAATTTTTTCACCCCCTCCCTCACTCCACATCTCTGCATTCAACGTCTGTTTATCATTTCTCCCCATACAATTACTCGTAGTGAATTTTTTTTTTGGTGGAAAAGATACGTGCTGTACTCGGAAAGCGTGCACAGTTGCACCTGCTCCCTCTCTTTTTACCGAGGACGTGCTCAATACATACAACGGAGCCTTACCGAGATAAAAATATCGCTTTGCAATTTTTATCGAAATGCCGTAACGTGATTGGCCAATTTTCCGTCGATACACCCCTGGTTTTTTAAATTATTTTTCATTAGAATTATTTCACGCGACAGCTGCGACGATCAACCATTCATCAACTAATCAATCAGGACCATTTTACACTAGTATGACAATTGTCTTGGTCTACGTTAAATTTTTTTTTTTTTTTTTTTTTTTTCTTCTATTTTCCATATCAGCAAACGGCAGCAGGCAGGGTTAACTTTGCGCTTCTATCCATCATAGGTGGATACATGGCTGCAGCGGAAGGTTGCACATACATCATTAATCGCACTAAAGTCGCGTGAATTATTAATCCTCCGCAGTAGCCAAGACGACGAATTATTCCAAGGACTCGATTTGCTTGCTTTTTGTGCCTTTGTTTTTTTTTTTTTGTTTTTTTTTTTTTACATATAAACCTTTGCTCAACTTTATCGCTATTTGGGGCACTTTTGTTTCTTCCACGAAGAAAAAAATTTTCCGGAAACCCAGGAGCACTCGGTGCGTGTACATGTCGCGTATAGTTGACGCAATGGGAACAACACGCACAAGGTGTTTTGACAAGTGGGTCTACGTGTACATTGTAGTTGAACACGTAAACGTAGATTATCCACGTAAGCTTTTATCGACTCCCCCCCCCACACTTGTACGCATTGGCTATAGATAAAACAAAGGTACTCAGAACTGTTATCATCATCTCGATACACACACACAGAGAAATCATAAACCTACTGTTTAAACGTACATACGTATAATTATTATACAGTCGCCGTGTAACCTTCTTCCTCTTCTGTTGTGCAGCTTTTAATAGTTTTTTCGCGTATCGCGTATGCACGCGAACAGGTAACCAATCGATACAACGTGCGAGGACAAGCATCTGTTGGATTACATAATCTGTGTATACTGATCGAGGGGTTTTCGTTTAATTTCGCAGGGATATGTGTACTTATGCGCAACGTTAGCTCAAGCGCTCCGTCGAGTCGTGCGGTTGGGAGCAGCCAGCGCTGATGCTACAAATACTCACAGGATCTGAGAGGGGAAAATATTTGTAAATTTTTTTTTTTTTTTTTTTTTTTTTATTGATGAAACAGTTGATGATCGATGGTTTTGGTTGTTCTTAAGAAGCTCGCGGTGTAATAATATAACGACCCGTTGAGTTGCGCAAGCACAAGTCGTCCGTAGCGTTCACGTATGGGAATCTTCACGGGAAAAAAAAAATCTATTTCTAAAGATCAGAATTTCCCTTTCGTTGAAAAAAAAAAAAAAAAGCTTAGCAACCGGCGCTCTTTGGGAAAACCCTCGTCATAAACACGTCGAACGTGCCGAGCTGCTCTCAACTGTTGAGCGACGTTTAAGCGGCGTATTGTGTTGGGTCACGAGGAGTCGGGCAAAGTGGGTATTAGCTTTTGGCCCGAGGCTGAAGCTCCGAGCGTGAGAAATGTACACATATACTCTCGAGCAAATATACATGCACGTACAACTAGCGAAAATAACTTCTTTTATCGTTTACCGATGCGACATATACTTTACCTATACATCAATACAATCATCACAGTATATATTTAAACTTTCAAAGGTGATTCGATTAACTAATACTATATATATATATATAGCTCATGACTCCAGCACAATCTGTATACATGAAAGCTCCTTGATCGGTAATTACAATGACGCGCAAAGCGACATCCTATACTCGATTAGGTGTTATTCTGCGGTATTTATTTACAATACCAAATATATATATATATATATTTAAATATAGAGCCAGAAATAATTGTTGAATGGCTATACTGTACGTATACATCACTTGTCAACCGTCAATAACACACTTCGTCTTGGCAATACGTTATTTATGCTATTTCTAGGGCGTTGAGTACTAAAAAATAAAAACGAAGAAACGTCGAAATCTCGTTTGAATCTCGAGTTCATCGGTACTGCAATTTCCGTCGTTAGATTAAACCTGTACTCCCTAGCTTCGGTATGGATCATCGAGCTACCGTCGATTTTCCCCGATTAAACTTGGTTACGATGCGCTACGAGCGTAAAAACACATCGGTACATTCAATCGCGAGGAGACAATCGACGGATCGTTCGTTCCATCATTCATCTCGATAAATCATTCTCGTCCGAATCTAGTTCGTTGATTCGACAATGGGCAGCTTATAAAGGTACAGTAAAACAAGTGGTTTCAACATCTGGAAGCGTAAACATTATCGCAGAAGACACCCGAACGGCATATTGATATGGTAACCGGTAAGATTGGAATATGTACACCTGAGAGAATTTTCAATAGATTTCAAACCCGCAAACGCAACAGTGAAGAAACTAGATAGCTCGAAAACAAAGAAATCATTCGGTTGAATAAACCCACAATCTGTTGGTGGTAATCATCGGAAGCATCTTACAAAACGCTTCGTTGGATACAAGTATACATGTAACATATACATTTGCCACGCAAAATATTCCGTTCGAGCATCCAATAAACTCACGCCATCGACTCGCAAAAGATCGATGCGCTGATGGAATCCAAGACACACCGAGGCCCATGATTGGATTTAATTCCACTCCGCGTGGCTCGGCATAACCGAAAGGAAAAAATCCCATCCTGTATCCATGCGACCGCGTAACAAAGGCACGGGTCAGGCGAGCGCAAAATGAATCTATACAGTCTCCGATCGGTAACAAGCTCATCTCGCTCTTCGTTTCCAACGCGCGTACACGTGTTCCCCTCCCCTCGTCTTCGCGATGATCGAAACCGACAACGCCCTTTGGTGGACTCTCGTTGCCATGGTGCCCCTCTCTTGTCACATATACTATTTGCTCGGAAGAAGAGATAAAATAAAGCAACCCCGTGACGTTCCGTATCGTTATACGTGTGTGTATCCTATACTCTCTTTTCTTTTCGTTTACGATACGCATAGGAAGGAAAACTCCCTTGTGTGCAATAAAAACCGGTAACTACAATGGATGCACAGCCACCCTGACGTCATAGGGATATGTTGCGCTGCGCTTCGTTCCGCCGAAATCTCAAACTCGCGCGATCTCATTGACAAACCAATGCTCATCCGTTCCCATCGTGTGACACAAGTATATGGTCGATCCCCCCAAAAGAATGTGTTTTTCCTTCGAAACGATTTGGGTGTATTGCTGGGTGTGGCACAAGTTGCGCGTGTATACCTGTAATGTACGTCAACGTCACCTCTCCGGTGTGTCAACAAACAATCACGCGCGCTCTTTTACAGGTATATTATTTTCGCGCTGCTCCAGATGTGCATACGTTTTTTTTTTTTTTTTTTTTGCCATCACCGTCGACGACACTTGTTCGCGACAGGTTGAGCAATTGTCTTGATGCATAAGCGTGTCTCTAACGTGGCTAGTGGCGCCGAGTGATTGAGGAATAAATGACGATGGTTCTTGTTGTTTTACTTTGACGAATCAAGATGTTTACCGTGTGCCGAGAAAAATCAGCTCACGCGGTATAATAAGTACACTAAAATAAGCGATCAGATAATTACATTGTTTGCACAAAAAAAGATCGAGTGTTTTTCGTACTTTTTTTGTTATAAATAATAATTATTATTTTTTGTTATTAATAATTACTATAAAATGTGCATACCTATTGCAGCAACGATAAATAAAAATGGCACCGTTAACACAAACATCGTAAACAAAATAGAGGAAGCGTGTAAACGGAAGTTACATGTTATCCCCAATGTATAAGCACAATCGAGACGGGGGAAACCCTACGTGTTTGTAGGCATTACTTATACTTTCTCTTTTTCGGAGATAAACCGTAACTATATAGTCATAGCGTTAATCGTAGTAGCTTTTGTTTTTCCTCTTCCACCGGGGATTTACCGTCCCCATTCAACGTTCCTCATCTGTACACAGAGAGAGAGAGAGAGAGAGAGAGAGAGAGAGAGCATCTTATGCGAGTGCAACTGCAGTTGTACATATTGAAGGGACGCGCGCTCTCGACTTGGTAAGCAGCACCTCATTTTCCCACCAGACGAGATTCAGTCGTCCGACAAATTAAGTTACTTCGTTACTCGCCCGGTAAACAAGAATTTGCTGTACGAGTATATATGGTTCGATTAGTTGTAGCCATTAACAAAAATTTTTACCCAAAACAGCCTCTTCTCGGGTGGAATGTGAATAGTACGCGTCGGAAGGGTGTTATACTGGAGCGAGACGTCCCGGCGTGATCTCACCAACGCGGAAACTTTATCCCCACGGGTGCAGTGCATCCGGCCGTTGGCCTTCGCTGCTCGTTCTTCTCTTCCACAAGGGGAGAAGAATATATCGGTACAAGGTCGAGAAGGATAATAGATCCAAAAGCCATCTGGTGCTGCAGCTGAGGAAAAAAAAAAAAAAAAGAAAAGCAGTGGGGAGTTGACGGGGATCCATATAGCTCGCGTGCACGTATATAAATGAAAGAGCCACGGGCAGGGTATAAAAGACCGGCGCACCTGGTCAGTCGAGCTCAGATACTCCACCGAATCGGTATAACCGCGGTCTTTTTCTTTCTCCGTCGTGTAGGCGCGAGTGCGAACGGTGTTTGTTTGAAAATCGGTTCACCTGCGGATATAGAAAACAGTTGTTGATACTTTTAACAACACAAGTATACGTATTTATATACGCGTTTGCGAATCGGTTTTCCTTTGTATAGATATATAAACGAATTCGCTGCTTTGGCAATATGCCGACGTGCACGTGCATGATCGAGCGCCAAGCCAATTGCGCGGGCGATCGTCACGTGTGTCTGCTGAAGCCGTTGTCTACTTCTTCTTCTTCTTCTTCGCAACTGCAGCAACAGGATGTTTTGTCGATCGATGCACGAGCCAAGGATGATAACGAGCTTGTTACACGCGAGGTGGACGAGGAGGATAGGGGCCAGGAATACTCGAGCGCTGTGAGGTAGGCGGGATTGGTTGGTGCCTTCCAAGCACCATGTACACGAGTTTATGTATACTTTGGAATCGATTTACAACCTTTTTTTTTTTTTTTTTTTTTTTTCCACCTCAACATTACTCGCCATGCACTCGGTCGTCGACCCTTTTTTTTTTTTTTTTTTTTTTCATATTTCGAGATTATTACGGTAAAGTATCCCAGGTGGCAAAAATATTAAAGAGTTGATCGGTGTTTGCCTGCATTGTGGATAGGTAATTATTTATCGATTCAAGTGTTTAATCGTTGGTTTGGCAACAATAAATTGCTTTGCAAAATAATTATTTGCAACCCCGTCCCAAACACATTTCATTGGCAATTGATTCCCTCTCTGTCGTGGGGGTTGAAGTTCATCAAATTAAAATTATTAATAATGGTATGTAATTATTACATATCTTCGTGGTATATATGGCTTGTGAGAGGAAGGGGGAGATTGAAATTGACCAAAAGATTTCTACATATTTCTGTATAATAATGTGTATGACGGAAAAAAAACAAGCTCGAACAAAATGACTGACGTTTAACGCAGCAAAAAAATTTCGTCATGGCCCAAACGAGTCGATGGTTGTCCGTGCACTGCACATATGATTATATTATGTAGAAAGTATCTCGTGACTTGAGAACAGCCAATAGAACACTATAAAAAATACAGCAGCAACAAATATTGCAAAATGCGTGTATTCTACTAGACCTTGTTATTTTTCGTGTCCCCCCCAGGGGCTAATGAGCATTGGAAAAAACAAACATTCGCTGTACGTGTCTTTTTCCCACATGAATACATTGAATTTATTCACGAAATTCATCATCACTATTCGAGTACGTACGTATTCAAATTTGGACTTTCTTGTTGAGATGTGCATATCATATGCAAATGTTTTTACACGAATCGTCAAAGATTTGTTCGAGACTTTACACTTTGGACATATCCGATAGTATAAGACAAAGCGTTAACTACCGATCGCCCATTCAATGCGTACCAAACGTAACGTCAGCGCCAATGTATTTTTGTAAAAGAAATAAATTCGTGATTCACTTCGGATATCCATACATAGAGAGCCAAACTAAAAAAAAAAATCGAGCTCCATGCACATACCGGTTTTTTTCAATGTTAACCGATTGCTTTTCCGTACACAATCGAACCACGCGTTAACTTTGCCATCTCTTTTGTGCTTGGGGGAAAAAAAAGGAAGTATTTTTCGTGCCTGTTTTTTAATAATATTTTTAAATCGTAGCCTAGAACGAAAACTCTCGTTGGAGCGCGTAAGATATTTATCGATTTCTCAAACGTAGGCCGTATCGATTTCTAGCCGATTAGCGCAACTTGATTCGATCAATCAAATGCCGTATTATTACGTTGCTCGCCTACAAGGACTTTGCTAATTCATATCAAATTTCCATAGTATTAACAATAAGCGTTACGGTTAAATAAAAAAAAAAATAAAAAAAAATTCACGAACGTTTTACGACACTGGACTTTTTTCTTGGCACGCTGCTGTGCAATCACCCAGCCAAAAGGTAAAAACTGCGTAGGCACAATCAGAAACACGTTCCGCGCATAAGTTTTTGTGAAGTATTCAAACACCACTCGGAATCACTATGCCCAAAAAACCGCGTTAAAAATATGACACACGCGCGAATTTATGCAAACTACACCTCGGTTTGGCGTGTAAAAGAAAATGTGAAAAAAAAAAATTTATATATTAAATAAAAATGGCA